AAAGCACTGCCGAACACCAAAAACGAAATAAAAGCTAACCATCTCATGGCAGTAGCTGAAATGTTACTGTTACTTACTTGGTAAAGAAATGCCGATTCTAGCTGGCATGGTGGGCTCACCCCTGTATGCCCAGCACTTTGGGGAGGCCAAGGTGGCTTGAGGTCAGGAGTTCGCACCAGCCTGGCCAAAATGGTGAAACCTCATCTCTACTAAAAATACAAAAATTAGCCACGTGTGGTGGTGAGCACCTGTAATCCCAGCTACTCAGGAGGCTGAGGCAGAAGAATCCCTTGAACTGAGGAGGCAGAGGTTGCAGTGAGTGGACATCGTGCCACTGAACTCCAGCCTGGTCAACAGGGCAAGACTCCATCTCAAAAACAAAAAGAAAAGAAAAGAAATATGATTCTAGTTGCCATTACTAAAATGATTCTGATCAAACCACTTGATGTGGTTTTGATGTGTGTCTCCTCCAAATCTCACGTTGGAAAGTGATCCCCAATGCTGAAGGTGGGGCCTGACGGGAGGTGTTGGATCATGGGGGCAGATCCCTCATGAATGGCTTAGTGCCACTGCCTTAGTGATGAGTGAGTTCTCGCTCTGTTAGTTCAGATGAGCTGGTTGTTTACGGAGTCTGGCACCTCCTCCTCTCTCTTGCTTCCTCTCTCGCCATGTCATATGCCAGCTCCCCCTTCACCTTCCACTATGACTGTAAGCTTCTTGAGGCCTCACCAGAAGCTGAGCAGATGCTGGTGCTATACCTATACAGCCTGCAGAACCACGGGCCAAATAAACCTCTTTTCTTTAAAAATTACCCAGCTTCAGGCCAGGTGTGGTGGCTCAAGCCTGTAATCCCAGCACTTTGGGAGGCCAAGACGGGCAGATCATGAGATCAGGAGATCGAGACCATCCTGGCTAACCCGGTGAAACCCCATCTCTACTAAAAAATACAAAAAACTAGCCGGGAGAGGTGGCGGACGCCTGTAGTCCCACCTACTCGGGAGGCTGAGGCAGGAGAATGGTGTAAACCCGGGAGGCGGAGCTTGCAGTGAGCTGAGATCCAGCCACTGCACTCTAGTCTGGGGGACAGAGCAAGACTCCATCTCAAAAAAAAAAATAATAAAAATAAATAAAAATAAAAATTACCCAGCTTCAGGTATTCCTTTATAGCAACTCAGAACAAACTAACACACCAGCAAAAGCAGGAAATGGCATCAAATTCTAATATTCCTCCCTCCTCTCACCCACATACATATACCCAGTCTCCTCTAATCCCAACTTGCACCCTGAACACGCAGAAGAGATCTCCTGTATATGACTAAATAGTATGGTGTTCTTTCCTCGATAAGAGCAATTGTCTTCCATAAAGATGTTTTGTTTTTTCTTTTCAACTTTTCTTGAGCAAATGGTATAACTATCAACAATAGTCTTTCTTGTGTTTATGTTTACCTCAAAAAAGTGGTGAATTAAATGTATTTTTAATGCATGCCTTCACCTTTAAGGGGCTTACATTCTGACAGGTAGGTGAACACAAGTCTATAAGCAGCTACTTCGAGAAGAAGGTATAATGGAAACATAAACCAAATATTGTGGATAAAACTCATATATGAGAGGAAACACGGAAAGACTTCAGAAAATCAGCCTTTATTTCCTCTATTTTTGCAGTATCTGTGGATAGTTCACATCAATTTGGTCTATCATTGAGCAAACTGGTGTATGAAACAAGGTCTCACCTCCCTCCCTCTCTCCAGTTGCCAGATAAGCCTTTTGGGAGACTGGACTTTCATGTTTGCCAGATAGTCCTGGAAACAGGTTCCTCTAGCCAGCACTCCAAAAACCTCCTATCCCCCAACCTCAAATCATTTTGGATTGAGAATAATTTCTCATATCTTTAAAAGCTTCTAGAAAAGAAGACTATTAGTAGAATGAATAAGTGTTTATGTCCTCAAAGAATTAGTAAACTATCCTGAGTATGTCTGTCCAGTAAACCAGAGCTGAATGAGAAAATGCTAAAACATTCTTGCAACAAGTTCCTTAAGTTTCCTCTCTGCCTGAACAGCATAGTTCATCAGCATAATGAACAGAGTCAATCTCTATTCCTGTAAGCTTTGTTTTTTGTAGAATGATACATCAAGAAAAATATATTAAGCCCTTACTATATACTTAGCTTTGCATTTGGTATAGAAAAAGTACAAGACACAGCTTTAAAGAATTTACAACCAAGCTGAGGCTTTAAAGCATTTGCAATATACCAGGGGAGTAATTCAATGTCTTGGTTTTGAAGTCTTTCCTTCTTTTCTAATTTACTTTTTAAAATTACAGTATAGTTGACAAAAATCATATATATTTATAGTGAACAATGTGTTTTGATATATGTATAATGTTATGAAATGGTTAAATCAAGCTCATGAACATATCCATCATCTCACATACTTATCACTTTCTGTTGTGAAAACATTTAAGATCTACTCTCTTAGCAATTTTCAAGAATCCAATACATTGCTATTAACTGCAGTCACCATGAGAGACAATAGATCTCTTGTACTCATTTCTTCTGTCTGAAATTTGGAAACTTTGACCAGTATCTCCCCAGTTCCACAACCACCCCTCAGCTCCTGGTAACCACCATTCTACTCTCTGCTTCTATGAGTTCGACTTTTTAAGATTCCACATAAAACTAAGATCATGCAGTATTTGTCTTTCTGTGCCTGGCTTATTTCACTTAGCATAATGTCCTCCAGGTTCATCTATATTGTTGCAAATGACAGGATTTCCTTCTTTATAAAGCCAAATAGTATTCCATTGTGTATATAGATATATATCTGTGTATGTGTCTGTG